GGAGTTATAGCCCCGCCCCTGGGTCTGAGTCATGACGTGTGTGTTTGTGTGATTTCAGAGGTGTCGCAGCTTCCTGTTGTGGTCTGTTGTTGTCCTGGTTGTCACAGCAACCATCGTCACAGCAACAGTCGTCGTCCTGTACCTGAACCACTATCCTCTGCCCCTGCTCAGCAGGTAACACTCCTGTTTGTTCGTCCGTCTACATCTTTACTTGTGTCAGCGTTCATCTTGGGTTTCCATGGTAACAGGGCTGGAGTTTCCTCACCAGTGATTTCCACAAACACCAAAGACTCTGGGGCCCTGGTGACGGTGTCCCGCGTAGTGGACGGAGAACCGATCAGCATCTTTCTGGACCCGAACTGTCCGGACTTCAAGGAGCAGTTCCTGCGCTGGGAGGCGCTGCAGAGCTCGTTGCTGCGGACGCTGACCAATCACAACACGGAGGAGTGGCAGGAGAGGGGGTGGGTCCAGAAGCTCACAGATGAGCTGAAAGTGTTAACAGGCCACGCCCACAACCTCAGGCTTGAAAGTGATTTGCTGAAGAAAAGTCAAGGTGTTCTGGACCAACGAATGAATGAACTGCAGGCTGAGCAGAGCCGCATCGTCCAGGTAGGTCGACACAGTTCTGTTAAAACCTGGATGGAATGATTCAGTATGACAGGTTGTACATGACTGGCTGCTTTGATGCACCTGTGCAGGTATTGTCTGAAAATCACTCAGGTGTGCTGAAATTGGCTGAAGGTTTCCGAGATTCTCTGGTCAGTCTGAAGAGGGAGACCGAGAGTCTGAGGAAGCTGAAGAGTGAACTGGGTCGAGACCTCATACCCACAGGTAACACATACAGGTAACATCAGGTACAACACACAGGAACTCACAGCTGATTGTTTCCATGACGACATGTGTCCTCAGCTGTCAGACCAAAAGACTGCAGGGACATCCTGACGTCCGGCGTCTCTCAGGACGGAGTTTATTCTGTGTTTCCAACTCACGATCCCAACGGATTCATGGTCTACTGCGACATGAGCACCGAGGGAGGAGGCTGGACGGTAGGGACAAATGAGACATCCTGGGACACCTGAGGACAGGACGGTATACTGAGGGACACTCTGAGACACCTGAAAACAGGAAGTTATACTCAGGGACACCCTGAGACACCTGAGGACAAGACCATAACAATTAATTAAATTAATTTATTAACTAATTTATTTGAATAATATTAATAATTTTAAGTTCATGGTAAAAAACAATGTAGACATGTTGTTGTTACATCGAATCATAATGTAGCTGTTTTTGTTTAGTTGTTATATAATTTCTTCTATTTACTTTTCATTTTTGATCTTTTTATGTGGCTGTTGTCTGGACCTCACCTGTTCTTCATTAAACCAGGTCTCTCTGAGTGAGTCCTCCAGGCTCCATGAGACCTGTAGAAATAATGAACGAGAAAAGTGCGGCAGCGCCCCTGCTGGTCACCACGAGCACTGCAGGGCGTTAAGTGACGTCAACACTTTGACTATTTATTGAGTTTTTCTGTGAATAATTCAAAGTTTTTTTTTTAACAGTTTCGTCTGTTTGACTTTATTGTCCTGATGTCTCATCTGGTGTTTGACTGGTTTTTGGTTTGAAGGTGTCCACCGGTTTCTGTGTGACGCAGGTGATCCAGAGGAGGGAGGACGGCTCGGTGAACTTCTTCAGAGGCTGGGAGGCCTACAGAGACGGCTTTGGGACGAGCACAGGAGAACACTGGCTGGGTCTGATACTAACTATCTGTCTTTTTGTCTCAGAGGGGACCGTAGGGCTGTGGACAGGGCCGGCCCAAGCCTCCATGGGGCCCTAATTGAAATTTGGTTTGGGGCCCTTTATTTCTGCTAATAATGTGGATGACTGCAGTCAACAGTGAGATGATCAGATCATTCACCACCTGCCATAAACTCACTGCAGCTCTGACAGCCCCGTTCACATGATCCCATGTGTGGCAGAAGTAACAAACACAAACCACCAACGCAGCACAAGTTTCTTCTGGTTTATTATCTTTGGTTTCAAAGAACTGCAACAGTAATGTCCAAAATAATTTGCAGTGCAAGATCAACAACAAACAACAGATTAAATAACTTAGATGCATAAAATTGTACAAAAACAGACAAAATTAAGTATAATAAATAATAAAATATCAAGAAAATACATAATGTAAATGAACAATTACTTGAAACCACATAAAATGGTTTAAAAAAAAGAAATTTAAAGTTGAATAATTAGTTCGTAAAACTATGTAAATGTATGCAATAATTTGCAAAAGCTCAATTTAAAATATTAAAGAGCTTTTACCCAAACTACTTGTTTGTGTTACTTCTTACTCAATACTTCACAAACTTCCTAAAACCTGTGCTTCCACTTAGGGGGCCCCCCAGTGGCCCTGGGGCCCTAAGCAGCTGCTGAGTCTGCTTCTGCCTTGGGCCGGCCCTGGCTGTGGAGACAAAGGATGTCCTCACTTTATCTGTCCTCTTGCACTTGTAGCACGGCTCTGGTCCCGTGTACTTTGACAACAGTCTGTCTGACTCTCTGTCCACCTGTCTGTCTTTCAGGTCTGCAGAGGATCTACGCCCTCACCAGGTCAGGTGGTTTTGAGTTACGTATCGACATGGCCGACTTTGACAACGCCACGGCGTTCGCTCAGTACTCCGACTTTTCTGTTGGGCGAGACTCTGTGAACCCAGAGGAGGATGGCTACCCGCTGACTGTGGACGGGTACTCTGGGACGGCAGGTACTACACAGAACTTCTGTTGAACTTACACAATACTAAAAATTTAGTTACTGCTGAGAGCTAAATGACTGTAGAAATACAAACTGAGTTGGTAAAGTTAAAAAGAGGCAAACACTAGCTAAAAGTACTGAAAGGTTAGCTAAAAGTAGCATAAGAAGCAAATAAAGAGCCAAATTATAGAAGCAGACTTTAATGTTAAGTATTTTTGACTATGAAAAGTTACAACAACCAAAGCCTGCCGGCCAAATCTCCTGAACGAGTCGAACGTTGTGATACATGAACAGCTAAAATAAAACAAAGTTTGCAGGAGTACTTAGATTACGAAGAGCGCACAGAAACATAAAAACAAGAAAACACAATGAATGCTGACTCAGCTTTGTGTGAACGCTGACTCAGCATTGCATGAACGCTGACTCAGCTTTGTGTGAACGCTGACTCAGCTTTGCATGAACACTGACTCAGCTTTATGTGAAGGCTGACTCAGCATTGTGTGAACGCTGACTCAGCTTTGCATGAACACTGACTCAGCTTTATGTGAA